TTAGAAGTTCACTCTACACTGGGCAATGTTCTAAGCTCCCTATAGACTTTTAGTTAACAATTCTATATGTAGGGCAGTGCCTGTGGCTTAGTGAGTAGGGTACCGGCCCCATATATCGAGGGTGGCAGGTTTGAAACCGGCCCCCACCAAACTGCAAAAAAAAATAGCTGGGCGTTTTGGTGGGCACCTGTAGTCCCAGCTACCTGGGAAGCTGAGGCAAGAGAATTGCCTAAGCCCAAGAGCTAGAGGTTGGTCTGAGCTGTGAGGCCACAGCACTCTATCGAGGATGACAAAGTGAAACTCTGTCTCTAAAAAAAAAAGAAAGGGGTGGCGCCTGTGGCTCAAGGAGTAGGGCGCTGGCCCCAAATACCAGGGGTGGCATGTTCGAACCCAGCCTCGGCCAAAACTGCAAAAAAAAAAAAAAAAAAAAATTCTATATGGAAAGTAGTACATTAAACTATTTTATACAGGTGGAAATAATGCATATACAAATTAAATTTTTAATCTTAATTCTGACTAGGAAAAAGAAACTATTGATATAAAAGATATAGATTTTTATTGTATTTATTAATTTTTTGAGACAGAGTCTCACTTTGTCACTCTAGTAGAGTGCTATGGAGTCACAGCTCACAGCTACATCAAACTCTTGGGCTCAAAGTAATCCTCTAGTTTCAGCCTCCCAAGTAGCTGAAACCCCTCCCAAGTAGCTGAGTGCCCCTCACATGCCCAGCTATTCTTAGAGGCAGGGTCTTGCTCGTACACAGGCTGGTCTTGAACTTCAGAGCTTAAGTAGTCCAATAGCCTCCACCTCTCAGAGTGCTAGGATTAAAGGCCTGACCCACTGCACCTGACCCAAAATACATATTTTATAATTAAATATATACTTAAGTATCTAACATGTAATTCAATATTTATTAAGAGGAGAGAATCTGAGGCTAGGCAAGGTAGCTCACATCTGTAATCCTAGCACTCTGGGAGGCCAAGGAGGGAGGATCCCTTGACCTCAGGAGTTTGAGAGCAGACTGAGGAAAAGAATATTAGCCGGCTCGGCGCCTATAGTTCAACCGGCTAAGGCGCCAGCCACGTACACCTAAGGTGGCAGGTTCGAATCCCCAGCCTGGACCCGCCAAACAACAATGACGGCTGCAACCAAAAAATAGCCGGGTGTTGTGGCGGGCGCCTGTGGTCCCAGCTACTTGGGAGGCGGAGGCAAGAGACTCGCTTGAGCCCAGGAGTTGGAGGTTGCTGTGAGCTGTAGTGCCACGGTACTCTACCCAGGGGGACAGCTTGAGGCTCTGTCTCAAAAAAAAAAAAAAAAAAGAATATTAGCCAAGTGTTGTGGTGGGTGCCCATAGTCTCAGCTACTTAGGAAGCAGAAGCAGGAAGACTGCTTAAACCCAGGAGTCTGAGGTTGCTGTGAGTTATGATGGCATAGTATTCTAGTCTGGGCAACAGAGTGAGATTCTTGTCTCCAAAGGGTGGGTGGGAGGTGAGGATTCAGATGCTGATGAACTTATGACCTTAGTATCTGTAGAATTGCCCTTAAAACCTCTGTAAGACTGGACATTAGTAAAACAAAATATTTAATACCTGTCTATATAGCAGTGGTTCTCAACCTTCCTAATGCTGAGACCCTTTAATACAGTTCCTCAGGTTGTGGTGACCTCCAACCACAAAATTATTTTCTTTGCTACTTTATAACTGTAATTTTGCTATTGTTATGAATTGTAATGTAAATATCTGATATGCAGAATGTATTTTCATTGTTCGAGACCCACAGGTTGAGAATTTCTGGTCTATAGTATTCCTGAAATTTCTGAACCAAGTATCACTCCACCATCACACTTCTAATGTTTGGCAAAAACAGAATTAAAAAATGGTTGAACACAGAAGTAGTTGAAAATACTCACAGACTGGAGGAATGTCACATTACACAGGCCCTCACAGGCCAAGGGGAAGGCTTTGGCTCTTACTCTGAATTAGATCTTTAGGTAAATAAATTTTGAAATATTAAGAAGAATTAATCATCAGATAATTTGACAGCATAAAGAAAAAGATGTCCTTCTGTGAGAGCAAGAGAAATAAACCTAGGCTTCTCAATAATTAATTTCATTTCACCAAAGCTTCTTAATCCACACTTTAAAGTCTAGCTTCCTCCCTGACCTCTGACCTCTCCCCGTCTCACCTGTTTCATTCATTCCCACCTACCTGGGTGTTCGGCTACTGCATCTTCTCTTGTCACATTCCAGGGTCCTTCCGTGTGTTTCAAAAAGGTGATCAGGTTCAGCTTAGACACAGCAAGTTCTAGTTTATTAAAGAAAAAAGTGAATATTTCTTGGGGCTCTTCAGCTTTCACCTTAACATTATATTCAGATACTGAAATATTATTTTCTAAAGTGCTATTCCCTGAGAGCCTCTGTAGGATAGTTAGAAAGCATTTTAAATTTATGGATCCTGGGTTTCACTTTAAGTACAACTGAATAAAAAAGAAAAAGAAAAAATTAGATGTTAAGGTACAGACAATTATTTTATGTCACTGAATTTCTAGAATCACCATGAAACTGAAGAGAAACTTGTAATTGATACCAACAAAGAAGGTAAATACCAAGGTCAAACAAAGATTTTGTTTTTGTTTTTTTTTTTAAGAGACAGAGTCTTACTTTATCACCCTTGGTAGAGTGCTGTGGCATCACAGCTCATAACAACCTCTAGCTATTGGGCTTAGGCAATTCTCTTGCCTCAGCTTCCCAAGTAGCCGGGACTACAGGAGCCTGCCACAACACCCAGCTATTTTTTTGTTGCAATTTGCTCAAGGCCGGGTTCAAACCTGCCAGCCTCCCGCCAGCCTCGGTATATGGGGCCAGCACCCTACTCACATAGGCACCACCCAAACATAAAGATTTTTTTAAACATAAGTAAAGTGCAGACAACCCCCTCTCTAAGTGGGCAAGAGATCTGAACAGAAACTTCTCTGAGGATGACAGATGAATGGCCAACAAAACATGAAAAAATGCTCATCATCAAAATGCTTCAGAGAAATGCAAATCAAAACCTCTCTAACAAATCAAAACCTCTCTAACCGATCACCTAACCCCAGCAAGATTAGTCCACACCACAAAGTCACAATACACCAGATACTGGCATGGATGTGGAGAGAAGGGAACATTTCTACACTGCTGGTAGGACTGCAAACTAAGATGGCCTTTCTACAGAGAAGTATGGAGAATCCTCAAAGATCTAAAAGCAGACCTGTGGAGAGAAGGGAACATTCTACACTGCTGGTAGGATTGCAAACTAAGATGGCCTTTTTACAGAGAAGTATGGAGAATCCTCGAAGATCTAAAAGCAGACCTTCCATTTGATCTTGCAATCCCATAACTAGGTATCTAGACAGAAGAACAAAAATCATTTTACCACAAAGACATTTGCATGAGAATGTTTACTGTGTCTCAACTCATAATTGCCAAGTTGTGGAAGCAACCTAACTGCCCATCAATCCATGAATGGATCAACAAACTCTGGTGTATTTATGGAATATTTATGGAATATGGAATATAATTCAGCCATTAAAAAAAATGGAGGCTCGGCACCTGTGGCTCAAGTGGCTAAGGCGCCAGCCACATACACCCAAGATGGCAGGTTTGAATCCAGCCTGGG